AATTTCAGCATAAAACTTTTTGAAAATAAAAAATAATTCACTCATCTCTTTCATAAGATAAAGCCATGCCATCCTTCATAATCATCAACAAAAATTACAAAATATTTGTAACTATTGTATGCCACTATTTTATTTAGACCCCAAATGTCCGAAAGAACAAAAAAAAAAAAGGGCTTGACACATGACTATCAACCTTAAACCTAAAGGGAGCACGGTGATATTTCCCATATTAACACTACTCACATTTTAAAGTAGAAAGACTACTTAATGATGGAACAAGTAACTGAAGTGCCTAAGAAACGAATGACCAATTTGACAATGCTACTAAAGAGGAGAAAGAGGCAATTTAAGAGTTGTTAATGAACCATCACCATCAAGGTAATATAGTTCACCAACTTTATGCCCTCCACCAATCTTTATCCCCATCTCGATATCCTAAAAACACACAATAAGAAAGGTAAAAGGTGATAAAGCAATTAAGAGACTTGGTTAATTTACTAACAAACATAATGTTAAAAGGAAATATGGGAACATACAATATTGATGAAAGGGTAAGGAATCTAAGTTGACATTACCAATACCATAAATAAAAGATGTTGAGCCATTAGCAAGAGTGACTGTGTGTGATGTAAGGGATTGAGGAAGAGAAAAAAAAAACACCTAGAGTCCCAGTTATATGATTGGAAACTCTCTAGAATCAATAATCCAATGGGAAGGTTTGGATGCCAGACAAACCATACTTCAATGAGCAAGAGTAGTTGTATTCTATTGTAATGTAGCCTAAAGAAACCACTCATACTCATCACGTGGAACACTCATTATCTCTTTTCCGAAAATATCTATAGATGTAGAAGGTGTTTCATCAAGTTGTTGAATCTCGTCTCCGATATCACCCCCACTAGCCACCATATAATTAGCCCAGGTATAGAGTGGCCCATATAAATCATAGAAAAGATTGATAGTATGTACCTCCATTCCACAATGAATACACTTCCTCTTACCATTACTTCATCCTCTACCATGTGCTTCTCTTGAATCTCGACCTTTAATACGTCCACCACTATGACTAAACATAGCACCACTACTACCACCATGAATTGGCTAACTTCCATGAGCTCCACCTCTACCACCATGACCTCCACCTCTACCTCTAGTTATTGCAAAAGTAGACCTATCAGTAGACCATGAAGTATCGGTATCGAGTATTGTATTAAACAACTTGGATACAAATATACTTTGGAAACGCTAAGAAAATGCACACAAATTCCATAAATACATTAATAGCAATTGAATTTAATGTCAAATATATATATATATATACATACATACATATGAAGAAAAATATATTATAATTAATATAATAGGACATGTAGATATTATACAATTTTATTAATAATGCTTCAATCAAGATTCCAAGGCAAATAGTATATAGATTTTTATAAATTAATACATGCAAAAACCAATATTATTTTATTATCTATTAAAGTGTAAGGCATAAAGCATATGCAACTATTATATTTGAATTATTATATCAATTTTTCTATTTTCTATTTTTACTTTTTAATATTAACAAAAAATTCAACCAAAAAATTAATTCTTAAATGTTTGATAAATAATATTTTTATTTTTGTAAATAATAAATATGTTATTATAAAATGTAAATTAAAATATCAATTAATAATTTATAAAAAAATCTAATATTAACTTAAAATATATCAAATCTATTAAAATTTTGAAAATACATATCTTATGAAAACTCATAAATTTTAATTACTAAAATAATTATTCCATTATTAATATTTTATTTTTATAAAATTTCAAAGTTAAAAATTATTTTTTATATAAAGTGTAGACTAATGGATTTGATAGATTCAATTTATATTATATTTTCAAATACTTTGTAAATAATACTTTTATTTTTTAAAATAAAAAATACATTGTTATTTAATGAAAAATAATATATTAATTAATAATTTATAAAAATTTAAGATATATATACCATATGCAAATTTATATAATTTAAGTATTAAAATAATTATTCTATTATGAATATTTTATTTGTACAAATTTTTGAAATTAAAATTTATATCTGATATGTGTGTGTGTATGCGTGTATGTGTGTGTGGGGGGGGGGTTACAAATTATTTATTCATTTGATTTATAAAATACTAATTTTGAATATTGTTCTTTTTAATTTATAGTTGAAGTTTTTGAAAATAAATATATGTTGTTTTTTATTTACATGTAAACATTAAGTTTAATAAAAGTTATTTTATTACACATATTAACATGAAATAACAAATGTCCTGGTGGTTAATTTACATGTACGCCTGGGCAATGGGGCATTCACCAACTTGAGTTCGAGTCATGCTCCCCCATTTTTTATTGTGAGACGCTGGTTGATATGTTTCTGTATCAATCAATACTATGCGCCGATACAGAACCCTCTTTGATCCATCAATTAGAGGCATAACCAATTGGAGGCATGGACCTCAAAAAAGGAAAAATGACAACTCTTTTTTAGCCATCCAGTGAAACTCCAAAGGATCAATGAGTAGGGGTGAGCATATTTCGGTTAAAACCAAAAAACCGAATCGAAATTTTGGTTTCGGTTTAATCGATTTGGCCTAATCGGTTTTTCGGTCGGTTTTGGTTTTATTATTTGGTTATTTTGTATTTCGGTTATCATAGTTGGTAAATCAATTAACCGAAAAATTAATTTAATTTATAAATATATATTTTTAATATTATTTATAATTTTATATTAATATTTAATATATTATGCAATATACATCATTACTTCATTTAATGCAAGTAAAGAAAAGAGTAAAAGACAAGTAAACTATTGGGCATTGGCTGGTGCAGGGGTCTAAGCATCTTCCTTCCTCAATCGTCTCTCTCTCTCTCTGACTCTCTCAGTCTCTCTAGTTTCTCTCTAAAGATTTTAATCTCTCTATATTTAGGAAGAATAGGTTGGCCATTGGCCTGCTGTAACTGTGTTGTTGCTGCTTGCTAGGTGAGGGTCTGACCAGCTAAGGGCGTCTTCCCTGCCCTGTTGAGTGATTATCGACCACCGAGTGCCGCGGCTATCGCTGAGTCTGCTTTTTCTCTACCGGCTGCCGCTGAGGGCTTCTTCTTCTTCTTCTTCTTCTTCTTCTTCTTCTTTGTTTCTGATAGAACATAGAAGGCTTGACTTAATTTCAGTTTTTATTGAAATATCCGAAATAACTGAAAAAAATTAGTTCGGTTTAATTGGTTTTTACATATTTCGATTTTGGTTCGGTTTGCCATCTTGTTAAATCGGTTTTGAAAATTTTGGTTTTTTGGGTTCGGTTTTGAACCGAAAAAACTGAATACTCACCCCAATCGATGAGATCTCTACAAAGATCAAGGGAAAAAAAGGTAAACCAAAAAGTTTTGGGTTGACCTCAACTATTTATAATGGCTCTCATACCATGCTATAGAACTGGTTTGTATTGGTTTTAGCCCTAGATTAGTAGAGAATAATAGTATGAGAGAGAGAACAATGTTTTTAAAATCGAACTGGACAACGAACTGTTTAGGGGCCCGGTTCCAGGGTCAAACAGATGGCTCATTTTGACAAAAGAAATACAAAATTAAAAACTAAAAAAACAATCAAAAACTGCTGGACAGTTTGAACGGTTTGAATGCCTGAGTCAGCAGTTTGTCGACCAAATCAATGGTTTTTGGCCAAAAAGAGGTTTTAGGGTAAAACGGTGATCGGTTCTTGATTTTTCCAATCTGACTGTCTGGTTCGGTCCAGTTTTAAAAACCATGAGAGAGAGAAAAAGAGAGAGAGAGAGAAAAAAAAGAACTGATTCGAACTAGAAAAGAAAAAAAACTCTCTCTCTAGTTGACAAGATGTTATTTATAAATTTCTAATTAAAAGAATAAAAACAATTATACCCCTACTTAAGTATGTAACACGACACTTAAACCAAAACATAACAAACAATACACCTTGCTCTTAACATAAAACAAAATAACCAAACTATACCCATCTACAACCGACTTTAACAATTACAAACTGGGCAAGCATCACCAATAGCCTTACAAAATCTATTCAGACGATCCCGGGTAGGGAGTAACCGTTTAACACACATCATTTATATAAATATATGTCATATATAACTATGCATTATGAATAAATGTATATTTTTGCATCAACAATTTCAAATTTAATTTAAAAAATTCTAATATAAGATAAGTATAACGCTCTTTAAAGCATAACTATGTACTTGCATATATAATAAAGTCAAAGTAATTTTTTTTTGGTATTCTAATAAAGTCAAAGTAAATCGACTTTAATCTGCACCCGATAATTTTGTATTAAAATATAAAAACAAAAAGATTTAAAAAAAGTAAAGAAATTGGACCAGGGTTGGAGTTGGCAACGGGGTGGGTTTGGGGCGGGGCACCCCTCCTTGTCACCGCCCCAAAGTCAAGATACTTTGCCCTGTAATCGATGGTGGGGCGGGGCATCTATTCTCTATTGGGAATGGGGAATCTCCAAAATTTCCCCTTTCTAAGACAATTACTAATAAATTATCTATTTTATGGACAATTTATATATAGGATATAGGAATTTGAGGGTATTTTAGGAATTGAATTATAATACTTTAGAAATAATTCAAAAATAAAATATGGGATCTAACATTTTAAGAATTTAAGAAAAACTTGAAGATATTTTAAATATTAATATTAAACTTAGAAATATTTTATTAATTTACCTTTGAATTCAGAACGGATTTAAGAAATTATATACAAAATCCATCCCCTGATCCCCGATTCGAGGAACCGTCCCCGCCCCACCCATGTTCAGGGTTGGGGAAAACCTGCCCCGTTCAGGGCGGGTGGGGCAAGGACCCGGTTACTCGGGTTGGGTTAGGATACCTTAGCCCGACCTCGACCGGTCCGATTTGCACTCCTAAACACAGAACGTTCTAGATTTGTAAATGGGTACGACAAAACCAATTTGTATGGTTAGCACGGCCCGGCCGACCGCAATGCGTCTCTAAGTATTCAGGCGAGCGAGCGAGGAGGGTTTTAGTCTCTCTCTCTCATAGGGGTTTTACTTACAGCAGCAGGAACAGCGGAAGGCTGAACATCGCCCCTTAAACTCAGATCTCTCCTTCTGCAGAAGCTGTTTACCAATTGATTGGATCAAAACCATCATGAGTTTATACCGGATTATCCTTAGATCTCTCAGACGATCATCTCCTCTCTCTCTCTTCACCACTAACCATCTTCTTCCTGTTATCAGCACCTCCACCACCTCCACCACCGCCGCCGATCATCACCACATCCTCCTCCAGTATCCCAACCATAGCCTCCTCTCTGTTCGCTCATTCGCCTACTCCTCAGCGGAGGAGGCTGCTGCTGAGCGTCGCCGCCGGAAGCGCCGCCTCCGTATTGAACCCCCACTCCACGCCCTCCGCCGAGACCCTAACGCACCACGCCCGCGTCCCGACCCTAATGCTCCCCGCCTTCCAGACTCCACTTCGGCGCTTGTTGGCCCTCGCCTTAATCTCCACAACCGAGTCCAATCACTCATCCGCTCTGGCGACCTCGACGGCGCCTCTGCCACAGCCCGCCATGCGGTATTCTCTAATACTCGCCCCACCGTCTTCACCTGCAATGCTGTCATAGCTGCCATGTACCGCGCCAAGCGCTTTGACGATGCGGTTGCACTCTTTACCTTCTTCTTCAGACAGTCCAACATAGTCCCCAATATCGTCTCCTACAACTTCCTCATTAACACTCACTGTGATTCCGGCCGCGTCGACGTTGGCCTTGAAATCTATCAACACATCCTCGCCAACGCCCCCTTCAGTCCATCGCCTGTCACCTATCGTCATCTAACCAAGGGTCTTATCGACGCTGGCCGAATTACTGATGCTGTGGACCTCCTTCGAGAGATGCTCAATAAGGGCCATGGTGCCGACTCCTTGGTCTATAATAACATCATCGGTGGGTTCCTCAATCTCGGTAATGAAGAGAGGGCTCTCGAGTTCTTTGACGAGCTTCGTGAACGATGCCTCGTCTATGATGGTCTTGTACATTCTACAATCATGGATTGGTACTTCAAGCAGGGTAGGGAGAAGGATGCAATGGATTCTTATCGATCTCTTCTTGATCGCCAGTTCAAGATGACACCTGCAACCTGCAATGGCCTTATGGAGGTCCTGCTAAAGCACGGGAAGAGGGCGGAGGCATTGGCCCTATTCAACCAAATGCTAGACTCCCACACACCGCCTAATTTCCAGGCCGTGAACACTGATTCGTTTAACATCATGGTGAATGAGTGCTTCCGGTTGGGGAACTTCTCGGAGGCTATTGAGATGTTTAAGAAGACGGGCACCAAACAGGGGTCAAAACCTTATCAAATGGATGCTGCAGGATTCAATAACATCATTAGCAGGTTCTGTGAGCATGGGATGCTTTCGGAGGCAGAGAAGATGTTTGGAGAAATGCCTACAAAGTCGGTGAACCCGGATGTTAATACTTTCAAGATTTTGATTGATGCTTATTTAAAAGAAGGAAGGATGGAAGATGTATTACAAATCTCCAGTAAGATGGTGGTTGAAGCTGGTTTGAGATTAGACCCTAATTTCTGTAACAAGGTTTTGAATGAGTTGATTAAGAATGGTAAGGCAGTGGAAGCTGCAGAGATTTTGGGGAAAATGGGGGAGAGGGATGTGAAGCCTGCCCCAACGAGTTACGAGATTGTCATTACGGCATTGTGCAGTGAACTTAGACTAGATCCATGTCTGAATTTGCTGGGTCAGATGGTGAGGAATAACATCATTGTTTCTTCTACTCTTCGCAATTTTGTATTTGAAGCATTTGGAAAAGAAGGGCGGAATGATGAGATTGAGAGACTATTTAACGTGAGGAGGGAGGGAAGTTATGCAGGTGTTCCACCTTATGAATCCCCTCAAATGGCAGGGCAAGTAGCTGCTGGATCTAGAGTCTGATGCAATCAAATTTTCTGGTTTCTTCTCTCCTGCTTAGTTTTGTTTAGAGCAAGAAGAAGTCTAATTTATTTTCATATACTGAATACGTTTTTTCAGCACTTAGTCCAAGATTGTTAAAGTGACCCTAAGAAAGGTATAATCATGAGAAGTATTTCTGCTAGAGTCATCAATTTACATGTAACTGTTAACTAGCTAATGAGTTATTATTATTACTTTTGATTGGTATAGCTGGTGGGTTATTATTGGGACCTGGAAACATCCATATTTGTCAAAGATGTTCTGTTTAGTAAGCAATTAATTCTTGTCATGAGTGTGTTTTATCTTTTTTGTATTATTATGGTATGGTTTTTCTTCATGTTTTTTTCCTTTGTTGTTTCATGTATTCTCATGCATTTCTATGCCAGCATGCCTGTCCACTTAATGCTTCTGTTGTTTGTGCAGCATATTTTGAAGTGGGATTCTCCCCTTAAGAAAATGCATTACATTGTCGATAATAAAAATTAAAAAAAAAATTAAAAGATTAAAAGAGAAAATTAAAATGTTTACAAGGTGTTCAGTGATTATGATATTTAAACCATACTACATAATTTAAAAAATTGTTTTCTCAAATGAAAAATCAAATTTTCTATGCTCTTGGTTATCTTAGAATGTAAACAGAAACTTGAGATTTGGTGCTTTTACTAGGATAAGCATCTACTTTGTTGGATTTATATCTTGAGACAAAATTTGACTACAAAGTGTTTTGAGTGAAGGACATAGCGGAGAGAATTTTTGAATCAGTGACAGAATGAAAAAAAAAAAACTATCAGTTGTGGTAGAAATTATTGTCAATGTTTTTCATCACATCAACTGTTGGATTTGCATCCTCATAAGCTCAGCATCTCACCACCATGCAGGAGATGATTATTTCTTTTCAGGACAAAAGTTGTAGGAAAAGGAGCTTTAATGGTTTTGGTTTATGTATATGGGAATCAAGGGTACAAGTCTATATATTGACATTAATAAGATTCCTTAAGGAGTGAGAGAAACAAGGGTAGAGTGATATATATATATATATATGTATATATATATTGCAGAACCAGATAGACCTATCCATGCAATATCCAATGTTGGAGGCTGGCTTGATGGTATGTTCATAGGAGTCGATTCTGAAGCTGAGAAAGTTGAGGTTTGGGCAATGTTTGAAGAAGAAAAGAGAAGGTAATGGGGGTACGGAAACTTAATGGGGGTTTGTTCTTGTTTATGTTCTTCAGCTGGAGGGGTGCTGATAGGGTGTTGAAGATGGAAAATCTGAAATCGAGGAGATGTGATCTCAGACTAGGCTGGTGGTTTCCTGTAGTGGGAATGATAACTGGAGATAGAAGGAGGTGTGCTCTGTGGGTTGGGGTGGTGGGCATTCCACTGCATGCTTGGAGTCTAACTAAATACAAGGCAATTGGAGAAAAGTGTGGTAGATTCCTCATGGTCAATGACATGAATAAAACGTGGGATAAGATGGATCAGGCAGGAATCTTAGTGGAGGTGGAGGACGTTTTTGGTGTCCCAAATCAACTGAAACTTCAATTTTCTGTGGAGGTTTATGATTTAAGAATCTTTGCTGAGAAGGAGAGGACTTGACCTTCGGCAGATATGGTAGGCAATAGTAAGAAGGGTGTTTTGGAGGTTTGGGGAGGGGGGAGAGAAACTGGTAAGGCTTTCCATGAAGGTAGACCAGAGGCAGGGAGGGAGATGAAGAGGTGGCTAGAGGTGGAAGATGATGATGTGTTAGCTTCGAAGGGTAACAACATAATTGTGGATGAGGGAAATAAAGGGGAGTTGGATGGTGTGGGGCAGTGAGGGGCAAGGAGGTAATTTTGGATGGAAATCAGACTTCCGTGGAGGGGCATGTGGAAGAGGGAGGCTAAAAGGGTTTGGAATTAGGTGGGTTTGAATGGAAATGTTAGGAAGTGGAGAGTATTGAAAAGCTGTGTGCAGGTTCAAGAGGAAATGAGAGGCCAAAGGGGTTTCACTTCCCAAAAGAGAAGCTCAAACAGCTTAAGAAAGGTGATTGGTCCAGCTTTTTAAGGGTTTCAGTTATGACTCTGTGAAGAAGAAGCTGGTGTCAAAGAGTTTGTATGTTTTGCCTATTTTTTTTAGAAGTGAAAGGTATGAGCTGAAGCCGAATCCGTGAGAATCTTGCTGGTGTTCAGGAGATGGTTAGGACAGATTGTGATAAACAGGTAACTGATATTTTTAAGGTTGGGTTCATTACTGGATGAAATACAAGATGTATCAAACCAGAAGAGTTGATCTGAAGATGATCTTCTGGCTGGTGGAGGACTAGGGGTTGTAGAGTAGAGAGAGGATGCAGGTTTGGGGAATGAGAGGGAGGCAAATGTGGAGGAGTAGAGAACAGTAATAAGACCTTTCCACTTTGGCAGGAAGAGGTGTTGCAGATTGGGGCAATGAGAAAGTTGAAGGTTTCTTTAGATGAAGATGCTGAGCAGTTTTGCTCTGAGGTGATAATTGGAAAATTAGGAGTTGACTTATGCCGGAGGAGGGATATAGGTGTGAAGACAGGAGTTGCTGAGGTTATGGCAGTGCAAAAATAAATCCCATTGTCCAACTCCAAGCAAACCCCATATTGTGCATTTTACTAAAGTATTTTTCTTGTTTACAAGAAGGCCTGGTTGGGGCATGACCTACTAACTCTTGTTTACAACAGGAGTTAAAATCAAATCTTCCTGTCATACTGTTTTTGTTGAGATGGATCTTAAGACTGAAACAGCTTTAAGAATGAACAATCAGTCGATGGATAATCTCATTAAGGAGTTTGAGAATAGAGTTGGAATAGAGGAAGGAGAAAGGGAGGTTGGAGGAGATGTTGAAAAGAGGAGTGGCGGGAATCCAATGGCTAGGATGGATGTAGAGGTTGGCAATTCTTTAGGTCTGTGGTTTCTGGGTGGAGAGGCATTTGCTCGTAGAGCTTTTGCTGAATTCGAGAGGAGGTGCATGGAGAGAGTGAAGACGGTAGTTGGGAAAGGAGGAGAGGTTTGGAATGAGGAAGTTGAAGGGAGAGAGGATGAGTTTGTTGAGGAAGAGTAATGGTAGTACTTTTGGTTAAAGGAGTTCTTCCAAGTATTTCTTTTCGAAGTGTGGTTGTTAGTGGTAAGGGGAGAGATTTCATAGAAGGTCCTGAGTGGAGCGGTTACATTGTTTTTTCTTTGTTTATAGTAATGGTGTTCTGTCTCCTTTGTGTTGGGTTTAGGTGTTGAGTTCTTGGTTCTCACTTGCATCTTGCAATTTGCAGATGATATTATAATATTTTGTGAGGACATGGGAGGTGAAGGCGCTTATAATTTACAATCTTTGATAAAATGCTTTGAAACAATCACAAATCTTAGTGAGTGTTAGGCTGTTTAGTGATGATTTGGAGAACCATGCAGAGATGTTAGGCTGTTGATGCAGGAACTAAAGAGTCAAATTTATGATATTTTATGTATTTCTGTATTTTTGGACAGTAGGGGTAGTTTTGTCATTTTGCAATTTTATGTGGGGCCCAATAATTGGGTTTGATTGTCTACTTATAGTTTGTTTATGTTTAAAATTTCAGAGTCATTGCATAAGTAGGATTAGAGTTATTGAGTCTTCTTTGAATTGAAATAGGATATGACAAATTGACAACTTAGTTTGAGTCCTACTAGGATTATTGAGTCTAACAGTTTGACTCCTAAGACTATTATGAGTTTAACTGTTTGACTCCTAGGATTATTATGAGTTCAGAGTTTATAAATATGTATGGACGTTTTACACAAAGGCAATGAAGTTTATTGAGTTTTCTTCAGCTTATGCTAGCTATGGTGAGTGATTCCCATGCCCTAGAGTGATTCTAGGCACCCTGTGAGTGATTCCAGGTATTTTCTCTCTTCTTTCTCTCCCTATTTTCTCTATTGTTCCTTCAAGAAGCCATTACAGCCATCAACAGCCATAAAACTCTGATCAAGAAGACCATTCAACATTCTCTAAGGACTAGAACTGAGCTGGTCTTACATCAGTTTGGTATCAGAGCTAATGGTTTATTCACTATATTCTCACAAAGTGACTGATTCTATAGGCCTAAGGTATCTTCTAATCAATTTTACAGGTCTAGAACCAACGATGATTGGGTTTTTGAACCAAATGAAGGGTCTTTGGTTGACTTATTTGAGAAGATAGTGGAAGAAAACGGATCTAATAATGTTGGCTACAGGAGTAAGGTTTTCAAACATGTTAGAAGAGAAAGGGAAATACTAGATTTCAAAGGAGATGATGATCCACAAGCATTCTTTGATTGGGTTGCTGAACTAGAAGAATTATTTTGATTGGCATGATATGTTTGACAAACAAAGGATTAGATTTGCGCGCATGAAGCTGACGGGTCATGTTAAAGTATGGTGGAGAACTCTTGAGCAACAACTAGAAAATAGAGGCGATGATCCGATTAGTACATGTGCAGAGATGAAGAGGTGTTTGTAAGAAAAGTACATCCCACTAGACTTCCATGATGATCTACATATGGAGTTGACTAATTTTGAGCAAAAGAAGAAGCCACATGTTATAACAAAGAACTTGATGTCAATTAGAAGAAGGTACATAGTTGAAAAGAAAGTAGATGATTCCTTGCATGTTGATGCCTATCCTAGAGTTGAAGTTGAGGATGAAGCTAAAGAAGTTATAGATTTTAAAAATCAAGATGGTGTAGACCAAGAAAAAAAAGAAATTGTTGGAGTTTCCAACACCCGTGATTAGCTTGAGGTTTATGATCAAGAAGAAATAGAAGTGGAGCAAGTTAAAGAAATTCAGGTGCAAGATACAAATGTGCTGATTATAGTAGATCCTGGTAAGGAAGTAAGTGACTTTACCTTTCAAGATCAACTAGAACCAATTCAAGAATTACAACCTGAAATAGCCCAAGTTCCACCAACATCAACAACGGAAGGAGTCCTAGAGATTGTTGAAGAACCAAGGATAGCAGAACAAATAGAGACGGTGATTCCTAAGCTAGAGGTTAAAGGAAAAGTTCCAAAAGCTGTAGTTGAGAGTTTGGGTAAGCGAGGGGAAGATTCATCACAATCACTAGTTGATGAATCAAGTGTTCAAGAAACTAATGTTATTGGTGATTTAACAAAGTGTTTATGGAGGGCAGTGTTTCAGCAATACATTTCTTTCAAGATCCTTCTCTATTTCTGTTTGTGGCTTCTACTCTACAGTCTAAGCATGTAGTTGTGGGAAGTCCTACTTTTGTAATTGGGGAATATCAACTTTTCATCCTCAAGTTCTTCAAAAATC